CCCCTTTGGGTCCTGTATTGGCAAATATTTTTGTGGGTTTTTATGAGGAAAGCCTTTTGTTTAGTTCTGCCCGACCCAACGTTTACTTTCGGTATGTGAATGACACTTTTTATGTGTTCAGCCATGAATCGGAAGTGGTTCAATTTTTTCCCTACTCAAAGGGGTTCATTGCCCTTCTTAGATGTTCTTGTTCAAAGAACTCATTCCTCGTTTATTACCTCTGTTTACAGGAAGTCTACTTTTACAGGACTATATAATCGATGGGACTCCTTTTGTCCTAAACGACAAAAGATAAATTTGATTAGGACCCTGACACATAGGGCGTTAATGATTTGTTCGGGTGACACCTTGAAACATGAAATCCATGACAGACTTTTTCTTTTTCTTTTCCTCATAATTTTAGTTCCCCGTTAACAGTTCTGATGAGAGGGGACGAAACCGGTCGACTGGTGTGTGTTTTTGTTTTAAATCTATCATGGCCTACAATATAAAATTTCTTGTTTTTAATGCCTTAATACGCTTTTGTAGCGTTTCAAGCATATATATATATATATATATATATATATATATATATATATATGAGATTGCGATATATATTTTTATATATCAAGAACAGTATTGGGGAAATTGTTTGAGAAAGTGAAAAACTTTACGCCTGACGCGTTTCGTCCTGCGGGATTTCATCGGACTAAATTTGTTATGTCGGTACAACTACACAAGCGCACGGCATTTTAGAATTTAATTTTTTTAAAAATCTAGCTGAATTTATTTAGAGTAGTTTACATTTCTTTCCATCACTTTTCTTGGTAGGTATTCTACACTGTGATATTAGAAGATCTGACAGAAATGGTGAAATATTGTAAGAGCCAGGGCGCAAATTTGCTGTAGATGACTTTGCGATCAAATCACTCTCTAGACATTCACGTCGTACTGAATTTCCTCCTTTGATAAGAGTAGCATTTTTTATGTCAAAATTGTGATCAGTCTCACCTGTGTATTTTTTGTGACGATTATTTAAGATGATGGAGTAAATTTCTCATTCAGGTTTTAGCTTATTGTTTTCTTTAGTATTGACTAAGTATTTTATTTTTTTGGATGTAGTAGTAACAAAATTTATGTTGAGTTTAGATAGATTATTTTCGATTGTAGATGTGATAATATTTTTTTTTTGATACATTGGGTTTTTCAGGAGGGTCCGTTATTTTTTTTTTTTTTTTGTTTTTGAATATTTTATGTCTTTTTTCGCAATAATTAGGGTACTAGAGAAGTTTGAAAATGTTTTCAATGTATTTCTTCTCTTCGTGTAAATAATCCGGGCTGCCTATTCTGAGTGCACTTAAGTAGAATCCGATGATTATAACCCTTGTTTGTGTGCATGTGTAGTTGTGCTAACATAACAAATTTAGTCCGATGAAGTACTGAAGGACGAAATGTGTCACAAGTAAACTTTATCCGCTTTGTTATACAATTTCCCCATATATATATATATATATATATATATATATATTAATTCATTTGCTAAATGTTTCACTGTGTAATAAAATGTATTCACATAAATTTAATAAAATTAAATACGCAGTTTGCTTTCTTTTAACAAATATAATTAGGTAGGTTTTTCTTTTGTTTTCTTTTTTTTCGGTTAATAATTCAGATAAGTAAGAATCATAATAAAAACAGGAAGTGATGTGTCATTCATTATTTCAATATGACGGAATTTTTCGGCCCGGTTATTATTAAATTTTAAAATTGTGCATTTGTTTACATATTAAATGTACAATCACAATGCCGTACTTTTCGAAGAAAAAATGGCAGCAACCATCAGATAATGATCATAAACTAGAAAATAAAATTAAATGGAAATTTCTCAATTGCACTCGCAAACCCAGTGAATTCTTAGGCGACTCCCACTTTGGGAAAAATGTATTCTAGGGGACAGCGTATTATCTTTTATATCGATGTTTTCCCCGTTCTCTTCGAAAGAAAGAAGTATGTATTTTCTTAAAAATACAATAAAAAAGAAGAAAAGAATAAGAAAAGGAAAAGAAACTGAAAATAAAACAAAGAGGAAGAAGAAAGACAAAAATAGAAGTGGTAGAAAAAGAAATAAGAACAAGGGAAAAATGTGATAAAAGAAAGAAAAAATGTTACGGGCGAAGAAAGAGTGATAGAAAAGAAAGGCAAGGAGCAAAACGGAGAGAACAAAAGAAAGTGTACAGTGAAATGAAAGAGAAAAAAAAAAGAAAGAGGGAAAAGAAGAGAACAAATGAAAGTGGGTAAAGAAAATTACATTGACTTAAAAGAAGGGGGATATAGGTAGAAGAAAGGAAAGAAAGAGATAAGGGGAAAAGGGAAAGGAAAGGAAAAGAAAGGGAAGAAGAAAAGAAATGAAAACTGGAAATAACAGAAAAGAGGAAGTAAAAAAAAGAAAACGACTGGGAAAAAAGCCCAGGAAAATTGATCATGTTTTTCTTGTTTCATGTTTCTCTTGTTTCATGTTTCTCTTGTTTCATGTTTCGTGTCCCTTCAGGACATGGATGGTTATGGTTCTCCACTACTTCTTGTACCTTGCATATCTAAACAAACTTTGACTCACTTAGCATTACTTTTTGTATATGTTGTGCCATCTTTTCACGCATGTTAAAAGTGTTCCAATAAAAAATGTTAAATTTATGTGAAACAAATTAAATAATTGTAATTTTCTAAAAGTACGTGGATGTCCGCGTAGCTGTTATCGGCTCCGAATGTGTTATTGGCGTAAGGAGTTAAAATTTCAACCGGAGCCATTGCTTTTGCTTTCACACAAATACTCTTGGAAATGAATGCATCCATCGTAATTTTTTTTCTCTTTTCTAGTGCGGCCTTTCCCGAACGTTTTGAATAGCGATCTCTTTTTGTTCAAAGAAATTTATGGCTGACCTCTACCAAGCCTGTCGATCAGAAGAGTGTTCTGGCCTTGGTTGGAAACTGTCCCCAGTTCTCCATCGCCTTATCCAGATATTGAACTCACACTCTTTGGATCCTGTCACTGTTTATAATAGCCAGAAATTCATACACATATGTTCTCAAGGACACATGGCACAGTGGATAAAGACGTCAGTTAGATCCAGTAAGAGGACCCAAAGAGTGTGAGTTCAATGCTTGGTTAAGACGGTGGCGAACTTCCAGAGGGGAATTAACAGGAAATAACTGATAACTGACATCCGTTAGACATGGCACGTGGAACTAGAACAGTCTACCCCAGCGAGTGAAATAAAGTGTTCAGTTCGACATTCCAACCACCTGAAGAAGGGGGGTACAACGACCGAAACTTTGTAATAAATATGACGACAAAGATGAGGACATTAGTCCGAATAATGTAAATAGTGTACATAATACCTCATCTCAGAAATATAGACAGATAGTCAATTGTATGCCTTCAACTACAGATAAAATGTATTGTTGGTCATTTTGCTATAAAATGTATTGTTGATAATTCTACTAAAAATGTATTGTTGGTCATTTTGCTTCAAAAATGTATTGTTGGTTAGGTGCTACTATAGAGTAACATCTACCAAGGCTTTTAAAATCTACCGTATCTACACTCATTATTGCTGGAAAATCTCCAAAATAAACGATAACCTGTTTACTGTTTTTTTTAAATGACACCAAATCAGTTTCCAAACATTAATGATTTTTTTTTAAATTTGTATAAAAAATTGATAATGATTTTTAATATATAACCAGTTCGCTGTTCAATGCCTTTACTCCTAACCCAAGCCATAACCCCTAACTCTAACATATTTCATACTTCTAACAATCGGTAAATATCATACCATAGCAGAAAATGAATAGTAGATATACTATAGTAGAAAATGGACGGTAAATATCATACTATAGTATCACCGTTGGTTATTTTACTATAAATAGGTATTGTTGGTCATTTTTTTAAAATATAAAAATGTATTGCTGGTATTTCTACTATAAAAATGTATTTTTATACTTTCACAGTGTTTTGTTTTTGCTAGGGGATTCACTAATTACCCATAGCAGGGACCCTAACAGGTCAGAGTGGACCTGGGAACATCAGCAATTTAGAGTTGGTTTCACGTTCCTCAAAAGCTCCAATCTCCCGATCAGATACCTTGCTGCCGGATGTAGTTTATCATCATACTCAGGATTCTCTTCAGGTTAGTTCTGAAGTAACAGTTTTCTTTCTCCTAGAATGGTTGTCATCCAAGGCGAGAGTCCAGTCTATCCTACTATTTAATCCATAGTTGGAGGTACATGGATTAATGTATTTCCCAGCTATATTATCGTGAAGTGAACGAAACAGAATCGACCGGAATTTGAACTATGCGAGTCGAGTTCACTTAACGCGTCGATAAGCGATACACTGTTCGCACATTCAAATATTATATTCATATATTACATGCGTCGGTAATTAATCCATTTGTGCGCTTATAAAATCCCGAATAGAAAGACGAAATAACATTCACCGTCATCTGAAATCAGAAATCAATCTCAAGGAGAAAGTTTTGGGGCTGAATTAAAAAAAAAAAAGGCGAAAGAAACTAAGAAAGAAAGAAAAAGAAACATCATAAACTTTTACTGTAATAATCATGTCAAAATTCTCCAAACTGTCAGCCATATTTGTCATGTGACTATAAATTTGACAGATCAAGTGAACCTTGATGCCTTTGTACCAACGGATCGGGTTGAAGCAAACGATGGGTGGGACTTGAGTCGCAAAGTGCTGAAGGATTTCTTTAACAGGTCAAGAATTATCGGTACCCATGATCAGAAAGCCGGAGAGCGGGGCCACCAATTCCGAAGAAGGCAAATGCGAACAAGAGTGACTCTTAAAAGAACTGACGCTTTTGATGGGATTCCTGCTCGGAGGTGCGACTAATCCGTCTAGATTAACTCCTCCTACTTCCTAGTTTGCCTTTAACAAGTGAAAACGGTTGCGTACAAACGTGTCGGATTAACCCAGCTGTCATTTTCGAGAAATTTAATCCTTTTTATAAAATTTTAAGAAGACGAAAATCGAAAGCCAGTGGAGGCGGGTGGAGGAGGGAATCAGAAGGAGTGGGCAGTGATTGAAGTTGGAAGTTGGTGGTGGTTGTCGAATGGGGAGGTATAGAGAAAAACTGAAAACAAAAACAGAAAAAAAAAGAAAAAGGCCATCAGATAAATTTAGTATCTGATTTATCAAAGTCGAGATTAACGAATGGATTGAAGAGTCATATGCGTGAATGCGCATGCGCGTACGCACACATCTACTTAACTCCTCTCGCTGATTCATATATATATATATATGTGTGTGTGTGTTTTAAGCAGTAGGCCTTCATTAATACAAGTTTGTTTAAAGATCAAGACAAGGATATTTTGCTTTTATTAATTTTAATTGTCTTGTTAAAGGAAGGCACGGTGGAAGCGGCTCGGATAGAGGAAACGGAGAGCCGAGTTCGAATTCCACTCGAATCTATTACATGCACTTACGTGCTAATACATTTGGGAAAGGTTTGAACCCTCTCCTTCTTCTCCCCCCTCGAGTTATAGGGAGGATAGACCAGGTTCTATAGCCTTGGATGGCAACTGGTCTACCGCAGAAAGAAATGGCAACCTACTGCGGGAAAAACCTGGCTTTTTTTTAGTGGCATTGTCGCCTTTCAAGAGGTGAAATAATTAAAACAATGTCTCCAAACAGCTTACAGCCATTCCTCACTTAACGACTGGGATCTATTCAAATGAACTGGTCGCTAATTAAGAAGTTGTACTTGACCACTATTTCAGACATGTAACGTTTGTCATGGGTTCTTTCAACAAAATTCAGAGAACCTTGATGTCGTTTTTTTCTAACTAATTTACTTTCTAAATGTTTGCACCAAGCTGTAGTGGACTGAACTGTAAACGTAATAAACTAATTCGAAAGTCAGTTCTATATGCTGTTCATTACTTTGTATAGTGTAAATAGAGAACAAAGAGATTTTTATTTATTTTTCTTATTACTTATTCATTTTAATCTCGACATTGTTGCATTTGCTATTTGGGGAGTATGATGATGTCATGCAAAAGGCAACATACAAGCCAAAAATTCCATTGTCCGAAATGGTTTTATCAATTGTTCAGCGCATTTAACATTCCAGTATTTTAACCAAGGAAAAACCTGTTTATTTTCTTTCATTTCTTGATTTTCTCATATATATATATATATATATATATATATATATATATATATGTGTGTGTGTGTGTGTGTGTGTGTGTGTGTGTGTGTGTGTGTGTGAGTGGAAATCGGGCGGTGACAGCCTGTTTTATGCTTGAACGCAGTCTTCAGGCCATATATATATATATATATATAGAGAGAGAGAGATAGATAGATATATAGATAGATAGATAGATAGATAGATAATATTAGTAGAAAATATACATACATATGCAAAATATATAAATACCCATACATGTATATTTTTAAAAAAAAAAATTCCAAGAGGAAGAATCCAGGTAGAACTCAATGTCTAGGACAGAGGAAGGATATAATAAAAAGGCTTAAAAACACTAATATTTCAAGCCTTTTTATTATATATATATATATATATATATATATATATATATATATATATATATATATATATATATATATATATGGCCTGAAGACTGTGTTCAATCATAAAACAGACTGCTACCGCCCAGTTTCCACTTTTATATTTACATAAGCTCTATCACTGATATTGAGCATATATATTTTATTATTTTTATGAACGTTATTATACATCAGTACTGTTTTATTTACGCCAGTACTCAATGTACAACACTTTATACGCACACACACACACACACACACACACATATATATATATATATATATATATATATATATATATATATATATATATATATATATATATATATATATATATATATATATATATATGTAAGTCTGTTTCAAAAGCCATCTCAGGCTATATACAGGATGATTTAAAAGTAATACCCTATTTTATGTGTAATAGACTCTCCCATCTAACTATAAAACGGGAGAGTTCATCATACATAAAATAGTTACTTTTAATCATCTCTATCTAATAAAAAACAGGATATGTGTGTGTGTGTGTGTGTGTGTGTGTGTGTGTGTGTGTGTGTGTGTGTGTGTGTGTGTGTGTGTGTGTGTGTGTGTGTGTAACGAATGCACGGCCGCAATTTTGGACGGATTTGCACCAAAATTTACATGCACATGCTCCAAGTTAGCGGGAAGGCCAAGACCGACTTTGCACTTCCTAACTCCCATCGATAGTGGAAATAATCGATTTTTTATGCTTCTATGGCAGTTTTTATTTAGTTTGCAGCCATTTTCTACTGGCCAGTGTGAGAGCCTATAGCTGGCTGCCACGAATAGGCAGGAAGATTCCATTGGCCAGCGTGAGAGCCAACAGCTGACTGACACGAATGTTAACTAGCATGCTAGCATGCAAAAAAATCGATAGCTGCATTCGTCACAAGTGGGAAAAAATTAAATCTGCATGGCACTTTACTCCAATTGACTCATTCGCTTGCTTAAACTCAGCGTTGATTCTGATTCCACAGAATTGGGTTGGGTGTGAAAAAGTATTTGTTGTTAACATTCTTTTTTCATTCGGTTTTTCCAGTTACGAGTCCTTTTTTTAAAGCTGATCGTTTTGTGTTCATTTTGTTTAGTTCTTTTTTCGTAACAGATTTAATGTTTAGTATAGAGCTTAGAAAAAATTCGCAGTGTGAGATAGTCAAGAAGTAAGGCATGAAGCAACATCAGCACAGCAAAGGGCACTCCTTTAAAGTCAAGGAAGGGCAAAAAGTCAAGTGATTGCTGTATGAGTCGTACGATTTTTGAATCAAGCACGGGCAATGCCGGGCCATGCTGCTAGTTAAAATGATAGCAAAATGTTTTTAGTACTTTAATAGCAATTGTAATGGTAAGATTGGACGTTTACTTATAACGAAACATTTGGGGTCACCTCGAGGTGGTGTACTAGTTAGCAAGCTTGTCTTGCTAAAACAATTACGAATGAGTAGTGAGTTCGATCCTCACTGGGTGTCCCTTACTTTCGGCCTTGTGCCACATCCAAGCTACGCTTGGAAAATCACTATAACGAAACATTTGGTATTCATTGACCGAGTAGCTAGTCGTCCTGTCGGTTTAAAAAAAATTATAAAATCTTTCTCATGAAATAATTTTTCAGGAAAATAGGTTTTTCAAGTCCAGTAGCTGTTATCGCTCTTTCCATTATTGACAGTGGTTTCCTTCCTATCCCTTTATTTGATGTCGTGTGGAAAATCAAAGTCTTGATGATTTCATTATTTTCTCTTCCAGTGCTATCCATTTTAGCTGTTACTGCTGGTGAAAGTCTTTAAGTGATGAGGTTTCTGTTATTTGGTACAGTTCTTTGCTTGTGGTTCTGTAGCGCCGGTCCACAATGTTCGACGAAGGATGGTCTTCGTCAAGACCCACAGATTACACACACTCAAAGCCATTTTTCCATACACGCATGCCATCAAGCTGCCACTGGATGGCATGCCTCTAGCGTTGACCGCTGGCGGCCCATCTTTCGAACCACCGGCGTGCTCGTCTCGGCAATGTTACTACTTGCGGACCGCTAGTAGCCCACCGTTGGCCCGCCGGTGGTTACCACCAGAGGACCACTGGCGTTGCCATCGGCTGCCCGCGAGCGGGCCACTAGCGTCTTACGTGTAGGGAGTCTCAATGGTTCAGAAATAACTAAACTGTCAGCTGTATAGCTGACAGTTTAGTTATTTCTTAACCGTTTTGCGTGACGTCCACATGAAAGTAATGGTGAGCTGTTAAGACTATCAGAATCAATGACGTTCACTTTGTACACGGCCCAAGAGACACTCGAGGAGGAGGATTACAGAGTAAGAGGTACAATTTAAAGATATATGTCGTGTTGATAACGGTGGACCTTAGACATTAGTTTAAGATTGAAGTGATCGGGGATGAACCTATTTGGGGATTGGTTCTACAAAGCTGCTCGGGTGAGACTTACATCTCATCAGTTGAATGCAAAGGGAATGAAGATGGTTCGTTACAATGTGCATGGCATAGCGGGTGTTAGTCGTGAAGGTTAAACCTGGTGGAACAAAGGAATATAGTTCGTCTAAACACATTCCGTAGAAATAGCGATAGACTAGCGACATATTTGCAATGAGAACAGAATTGCAGGATGAGAAATAATTTGTCGGCCATAAGGACGCCGAGACGTCTTTGGAAGACAACTTCTGTCCATCTATGGCAGCAATACTCCATTTTCGGCTTGAATTGGCTCTTGTGAACGTATAGAATAGCAAGAGAAATCAGCTACTTACTGGAGAGATACAAGGAACTAGAGACAGTCCTGGAAAATCGGAACTTACATCTTCTAATAACAAGACGAAAGAAATGGAAGGGATTACTAAGAATTGTTTATTTTAAAATCACTTTGTTATTGGAAAAACAAAGATATTATACTTATATACATTATACTTTTATATACTTATATTATACTTATATATACTTCTAATAACAAGACGAAAGAAATGGAAGGGATTACTAAGAATTGTTTATTTTAAAATCGTTTTGTCATTAGAAAAACAAAGTTATTATAATTAAGGTGCGTCCAGTTAATTTTCCAGTGACAGCAATTAGTCATGTACAGTAACTGCGCAATAGCAATTACTAGCATGAAAGAACAGCAATGGAAATTTCAATTGTTCGTGATAAATTTCCATGGAAGAAATACTCTGAAACAAAGAAAGCAAATTCTTAGAGCAAAAAAAATGTTTCGGGAAATTCTACAGAAACAGTGCAATGTGGACAGTGATTAGAACAACTGACTTTTCAGCGCCTACACCATTACAGACTGTGCGCAAAGACATCACAAGAAATATTTAAATAAAATTCTCACTTAAAATTTTGAAAAACTTAGCGTTGCGTCTTTGCACGTTCCGATATCTTACAACCGTCAATAATAGCAGATATTCAAAAAACATCTTTCGGTCGACATACAGGTATATCGTCTCAAGTTTTTGATTTTATAAGGAAAAAAACACATGCCTGATGATGGATGGAAGACTGTCCGTAAGTACTAGCACTTTAACATCAAATAAACTGAAAAACTACAGA